AAATAGAACACAAGTCTTGAATCTGGACAAGTAAGTGTCTGAAAGGAAGGCTCCAAATAATGCTAGCAAGAATGCTGTTCCCATGAAGTTTGTAACAGCAGTGGCTGATTTTGTTATGTTGAAGTTCATAAATCCATAAAAGTAAGTCACCAAGCTCACACCAGTTGCGAAGAAAGCCATGACATCGATCCCCGCCATAACTGCATGGTTAAAAGATCACAATATTATTAAGAAGAATTAACCAATAACCGCCCACCTAATTTCCTAAACTAAAAATAGCCCCAAATGTATAATATATATATATATATATATAATTCACGTATAATATGTGTATAACTGTGTATAATCTATGTATACCGGCTAAAAAAAGTAAACAATAAATTTGGCCGGCTATTTGGATAACAATCCCAGAGTCACAAAATATTTACCATATACAAATAAAGTTGCTCTATTTCCCCCTACCCTTGGTGGTTGTTTGGGTTCAGTGTTGACATCTCTGCACATTCCCTGCATATAATTAACACAAAAAAAAACTAATTAGCCATAAATGCCATACATGATTTTGAGTCATTGAAACATTTTTCTTTTAGACATATTCTTAGTGGACCTTACCATTTTGATGTTGGAGTTGTCCTTCAACAGCCAAAATGCGAAATGTATATTTTTAGCTTGAATGGTTCAATCATAACCCTGACTTTATATGGAGAGTGAATAGATATAATCTCTCACATAGGGAAAAGAAAAGATAAAAGGAATCAAATTGCATCTGCACATTTGAATAACATAGTCAGAGGATCTTTTTGTTCCTTATGATTAAACCCTTCCTATTATGATAAATAAACTAAAAAAACTAAGTGTTATACTCTGACTTTATTAGTTGACATAAGCATGAGCAGATGACTTAATGCCTAATATTTTGAAAAACTTAGATTTCCGAAGGGGAGGCCTTGGAGCAGTGATAAAGTTGTTCTGTGCGACCTATAAGTCACGAGGCCGTTGGTACTTGCATTAGCCATTAGGGTAGGCTTCCTACATCACACCTTCTTGGGGTGCGGCCTTTCTCCGGACCCTGCATAAACGCATGATGCTTCATGCACTGGCTTGCCCGGCCGAAAATGAGATTCAATTATTTAGTCTCCAATTTCTGTATGTCAAGAACCACTCAAAACAAACACTTTAATCACAAAGAGTAATACTCATAATTAGTGAAAACAAGGCAGTACATTCCAATTACTTACAACAACAAAATTTCTTTTTCATCTGCAACATGGAGTTAATTAAGCAGATGGTTGTAATATTTTAGCTCCAAACAGTGATGTTTTATGGACATCTCCATTTTATTGTTCTCATTTGGTCAAATGGTATCTTAACCTGAGCAAAGAGACAATAAGTATCAGACTAGTATTTGGTCCAATTTGCGCCAAATTTGTTATTTCTGCGGCTCCAAATTTGGTGTAACTGGTAATGTTGCTGCCATGTGACTAGGAGATTACTGTTAGGATCGTAAAAATCAGGTGTCATACGGAAGCTAGCAAAACAAACCTTGAGCGACGATAAATCATACAACAAAGGAGAAATATACCAAAAGAGACACAAACATTTAACGTAGTTCGGTCAACTGACCTACGTCCACCGCGGAGATGAGCAATCCACTATATAAAAAGAGAGTACAAAATATCGAGAGAACAACCTCACGAAGAGGAAAATACAAGTGACTCACTAACACTTGTCCCGTAAAGTTCTTCTCCTAAACACGACTCTCAAACCCCCTATGGCTACATTGTGGATGCTACTGAATGAGAAGGACGAATCTTCAATTTATAGAACTCCAAACCTTTTCCTACAAGAAAAAGTACTAGCCAAGTATAGGAGAATTATAATTTCCTTCTACAAAAAGGAAAACCCAATTAAAGTAATTATATTGCTCTTTCCTTCAACAAATAGGAAAACCAAATATGGTAAGAAAATTATGACAAATACCTAACAATTACGGGTTCGAGCCGTGGAAACAGGCTCTTGCAGAAATGCAAGGTATGTTTGCGTACAATAGACCCTTGTGATCCGGCCCTTCCCCGGGCCCCGGACCTAGCGAGAGCTTAGTGCACCGGGCTGCCCTTTTTTTCCTGAAGCTGATCAAAATAAACTTGTTAAAACCTTAAGCGTGCTTTATCTCCACATTGTTAATCCCTTATAATAATTGATTTGAAATGGAATTCAAGTCAGTGTAAGCAAATTATTAGAATGTCAACTGAGTTCTGATGCTGAATTGCAACTTAGCATTTTGACACTCACTTTAGGACAAAGACATTATTATATATGCTAGAGCTATGTAGATGGCAACATATATATTAGAATAACTCCTATTTGCCGATCATTTACACAGTAAATTTGATTTACTATAATGAAGCATTACAAAGTTGGCTCATGTAGAGAGGTGTCATATGCGGCCACTTATGAGCTGGGCAAAAAATACCAAAGAGTTTTATTCTAAAAATAATAATTTATTTACCCGTTTAACTGGCTTAGATATTGGGGCAAAGTGCACCAGTAGCTACTTTTTAAGCTTGTTATTTAAAATATATTCATAATTTATAATGTATTTAAAGATTAACCAATTCATTTAAACTTCAGGACTAAGTATCTTGAATTTTTGAGCTGCTAATTTGAAATTCAGGCTTAGTGTCCTAAATTTTTAAGCTGCTAATTTGAAACTTGAGACTAAGTGTCCTGAATTTCTAAACTGCTAATTTGAAATACATGACTAAGTGTCCTGAATTTCTGAACTGCTAATTTAAAATTCATGACAAAAGATTCAAATTTCTGGACACAATTTTCGAATTTTAGGACACAATGTCCTGAAGTTTGAAGATTGCTTTGCTTGTTAACTACAAAAGTTGACTTGATGTTGATGAACCATTTAGGCAATATAGTTAGCTCTTGTGCTAATCTCTCAAAAAAACTCTCATGGGGGAATTATGTTAACTTTATAAGAAATGAGCCAAAGAATGTCAAAATGAAAAAAAGAAAAAAAGAAATTTGGTATATTGCCGGCTTTGGATTCTTTCAAAGGCATAAACTCTTGAAGGTCCACTGGAATATCCAAGAAGCTCAACTTGATCTTAGTTTAACAAATAAATATCAAAAGTTGACCGGCGTATATATATACAACTTTACAAGACACATTAAGCTAATTAAGTGTTAGACAGAAACGTCTTTACTAAAACTGAAGTATTTCAGAGTTTGGTGAAACTGATGGATCTAAGGGTGTGTTTGGTAAAAAGGAAAATGTTTTCCGTGGAAAATATTTTCTTGGAAAACAAGTAGTAATCTTATTTATTTTCTGGTGTTTGATACGCAAATTAAGGAAAATAACTTCTTAAGAATATTCATAAATAATTTTACAGGTAATTGTTTTACAATATTAGGTTACTCAAAATCACTTACAGGTAATTGTTTACTTCAAAAATGGACTGGCGTCCGGAAAAAAATGATAAATGAATCGTTACATCAATTAAAACAACATTGATTGTATCTGTAAGCATATAATTTGACCTTTCCCTCAAGTTTGGGTTCGTAATACTAATATCTCTTGTGGTTTACAATATCACTTGCATCCTTTGTTTCGAAAAGCTGATATTTATAGCAAAACCAGCAGCGAGTAAGAGTTTGTGTTATAGCTTTCAAGTATCTACAAACAATCACAAAGAAATGGCTACAAAGAATTGAGAGACTCCTACAAAGAATTAGTCAACACTGTCTATAGAACTGAGGCTAAAGTTGTTGATTTTAGACGCAAGGTGCATGCTCTGTTTAGTCTTTTGAATACTTTTATTTTCTTTTGTATCTTGTCTCTTCTTCATCTTTTGAAGATCACCTCACTTTCTTGATTCTGCTGGATTTTGAACCGCTTTACTCTCCCATAATTTTCAGACCAATTTCATGGATCGCTAGACCATACTCTTAGGTTCCTGTCTCAACCTTGTTGCCTTATATATAAACTATTCCGTGTACAATACTGAAAACCATAAATAAATTGAAAAAAGGCAACCCGGTACACTAAGCTCTTGCTATGCACGGGGTCCTGGGAAGAGTCGAACCTCAAGGGTCTAAAGTACGCAGTTTTACCCTGTATTTCTGCAAGAAGTTGTTTCCACACTGATTACATGACATCAACTTTATTAGTTATTGAGTTTAGTATAAGTTATGCATGTATTTGTGCATAGGAAATGAACACAATGAATTCATTATGCTGCAGGAAGAGTACGTAGAAGAAGCTAACTTATGGGCAAAGTCTGCATCAAAAGGACTTATCATAGAAGTTCTAAAGACCAAGCACCTCAACGACTTTGCAGCGGTCATTTCGGCAAATGCCTTATATTTTATGGATCATATGAAGGTTATCAAGTTGCTAAAATTTGATATGGAATTGGAGAAGACAATAAAGAGATCTCTATGTTTATTTTCCTTCCAAATGAAAAAGATGGATTGCCTAGTCTATTGACAAAAGTGAATTCTAATCCAAAATTCTTTACCCAAAAATTCAGGCTTTGGAAGGAAAAACTTGATGCATTCTACATTCCAAAGTTCAAATTCTCATACGCTGCTATGGATCAAGTGATAGAAACAATGAAGGAAATGGGATTGACTCTGCCTTTTGACGAAGAATTCAGAGAGACAACTGAGATTGTGGAAGATAAAGGGTCATTCTTTATCAACAGGATATTACAAAAAGCATTTGTGGAAATAAATGAGAAGGGTACTGAGGCAGCAGCTGTTACTTTTGAGTCAGATGATGACCTGGGATTTTCATTGGAGGATTTAAGTTTTGTAGCAGATCACCCTTTCTTATTCATGATAAAGGGAAAAGGTTTCAAGATTGGTGATATTCACTGGAGCTGTACTAAATCCTTTGAGTTCGTCAAATGATTCAGATGACTAAGAAAGAGACATGGGATTTTTTTTTTTTGTGTGTGTGTGTGTGACATTGGCTATTTGTGGAGGCGGATCCAGAATTTAAAGTTTATGGGTTCCTATAGCGACCTTAAGTAAATATACAATAAATTACATGGGTTCAAAATAAAAAATTATGGATATTTGGTGAATTTTTAAAATATATATACAGGATATGTACAAAAGCTACTAGGTTCACGGAACCCACATGTAATAGGTTGTATCTGCCCCTGGCTATTTGTATAAGAACTTTGACGGTCTCCTATTGGTAAAGCCTTGTAACTGAGGGACATCCCTCAGTAATTCGCATCGATAAAAGGTGGATATTTGGTAGTGATATTAGTGTTAAAACACAATCATTCTATCTTGTTTATCCTCCAACTTTACTGTTAACATGTCACTACTTTACTGGTCAATTGGTTTTGTGGCTCATTACAAACTTGTTTTTAATTTTATGACCCCATCTCTATTTTTACACGTCAGAGATTTGCATTTACATACGAAAGATCTATCTTTTACACGTAAGAGATCTAAAAAAGATATTTTGTTAAATTCAACATTGTAAAAAGCCGTGAAAGCCTAAAACCCCACATGAAAGACGATAATGATTTTCCAAAGTAAAATATCCTCTACATGAAAATATTTCACGTAAACCATTTTACATTATCCTACTAAACATAGTATAGTCGATACACATTCTTGTTGATGCATTGATCCATTCTTGTTGGGCTACGTAGTATAGTCGATACACATTCTTGTTGATGCATTGATCCATTCTTGTTGGGCTACGTAGTATAGTCGATACCCATGTTGGGACATGCTCTTCTTTTCTCCATGTGAGTTTTAAATTTTATGTATTGACGTATAAAAATATTTATACAATCATGTTATTTAAAAGGTAATTGTACATAATTCTATTTAATATCATTGATTTGTTAAACTATAATAAATGGTAAGTAACATATTATAAGATGATGGAAGAAGTTATATTACTCTTAGGGGCGGACCCATGTTGATTCAACCGGGTTCAGTTGAACCCTCTTCGTTAAAAAATTGAATTAATTTTTAGTGAATTTATTTTTCTAAGAAACAAATTGTATAGATAAATAAAGTTGAACCCACTTGACATATGGAAGGTGTGATAGCTCATGTGGGTTCATTATGAATGAAAAGTCTTGAGTACGATTCTCCTGCATTACATTTTGACTAGTGCTTTATTCTACTCTTTCCAAAAAATGGATCACCTTTGTTGCTCTTATTGTTTCTTCCTAAACCCCACGCCCACTTTATCTATATGTACATGTACTTTTTTTTTCTCTTTCAAATATTCTTCTGTCTCAATTTTACACATTTTTTATTTGAAGTGTTTCAAATATTTTGTACTAGTCTACTTATGCCGCTCCCTCACCTTTTTTTTTTAATTATTTGTTCTCATTTAGCTTATTTTCATAGTTCCAGAATTATATACTATTAAATTATTAATTTACTTTAGTTTATAGTCTATTTTATTATTATTGTATCCACTGATTCATTTGTTACAATAAATACTTGAGCGCTTGTTAATTTGTTAAAGTTAATAAACAGTTTAGTATTTTAGTATAGATTGAACTGAATTTTATAAGTAAAATTTCAAAAAGTTGTGAAGTTAATATATTGTCAATTTGGGAAAGCAAACAGAGTTATTGTTATTTTATTTTCTTAAGAACACGACCTTAAAATAAAATAAAGAGTAGGGGGGTGGGGGGGAATTCTTTGAAGTTATTGTCACGACCCATTTCCATAACAGATCGTGATTGCGCCCAACACCATTGCCGGGCAAGCCAACACGAAAAATACTAAATAAGTTCTCACTTACTTTTATCAAAATAGTTGCAATAATTCTCTAATTTAAAGTAAAAAACAGGAATGAATAGTAAGGTGCCAAAAATAATCATACAACCCCAAAATATCAGTCTACTAATGTGAGTGTCAAGACCTGGTGTCACAAGTTGTGGGCAACTAGTGAAATATACAAAAGAATCAATCTATCCTACTGTCCGAAATAGAATAGACAACAAAAATAAATAAGAGAGACTCCTTCAAGCTGCTGAACGACATGGGAAGGGAAACATCTCACCGTAGAAGTCTCGAAATATGCTCAGGGATGCGCACCAGACTGATAGCCAGAGACACCTACCTCAGATCCTTTACAATTAAGTACAGAAGTGTAGTATGAGTACATAAACAATATGTACCCAGTAAGTATCCTGTCTAATCTCGAAGAAGTAGAGACAAGAGGTCGACTTGATACTTACTAGGGTCAAATAATATGAGAAAGAATTTATTCTAAGCATAGATAACACAATTAATTAGCATTTTATGGCAAGGAATAACAGTTCTTTTTTCAGATAATATTATGGGTATCCCTTTACATTTCAAGGCAAATACGAAGTTCAATCCATAGGAAAATACTAAGTAAAGCATGCGCAAGTAACACCGAGAGGCGTACGGCCCGATCCAACATAAAAGTAAATTGTGCATTGCCGAGGGTCGAACGGCACGAACCATAGATACATCTATTACCCCGCTCATGAATCACACGTGCGACGCGATCAAATATAAATAAACTCAACAACAAGCAGACAATAGTGTATATATGAGGAGCAGTCATTTGCAGAAATATTCAATTTCTCTTTAAAAGGTCAAGGAAAATAAGTTTTCCCTTACTAGTCTCATTTACATTAATCAACATGATTTATACGAATCCGATTTAAACATCAAGTTACAAGAATATCACATAGAGCATGTTTATGGGTCCTAGACTACCCCGACTTAGCATAATAGTAGCTACGCATGGACTCTCATCACCTGGTGCGTACGTAGCCCCCGTATATAATAGCAATTTATTCAATTATTACACCTATGAGGACAATTCCCTCTTACAAGGTTAGAAAGGAGACTCACCTCGCTCCAAAATGTACTTCCAACACTAAGAACGAACCCGAACTCTCAATTTGAAGCCGAACGATCCAAAACTAGTTAAATAAGGTAGGAACTAGTCAATATTAGCTCACAAGATCATATTCTAGCTATTTAAGCAATTTCCCAACCCTTAACACAAGTTTCCTAAAATCCGACCCTGGGCCCACGTGCTTGGATTCCGAAATTTTCCGAAGGAAGTTGCTCTCCATAACCTAAGGATCAATAATATATGATTTCTAATTTATTTCATAACAAATTTCGTGGTTAAATCTAACTTTTGTTAAAACCCTAGGTTTTGCTCTAACCCCTTGATTTCACCTTAATTCTAGTGTTTAATCTACCTAAGACACATGCATTAAACTAAGAATAGGTGGAATAAGCTTACCTCAAGATGCTAGGTGGAAGTCTTCTCTCAAAAGCTCCCAAAATCGCCAATGGAGGAGTGAAAAGTGGCGAAAAGGGACTTAGAACACGTATTAAATGAAGCTCATTGCTTCAGCGATTTCCGCATCTGCAGTCAGGGGACCGCATATGCTGTCTCGTTTCTACGAGAAAGCGAAGGCATTTGTGGAACTGGCCAAATGGGTTGCGACTGCTTCTGCGGTCTCGAGGCCGCTTCTGCGGAGCCGTTTATGCGGCTTGGGAGCCTCTTCTGCAGTTTGGGCCTGCCCTGCCCTGGGCCGCATCTGTGATAGGCGGACCGCTTCTGCGGTCTCGCACCTGCGGCCGACCAACCGCAGGTGCGGTTATGACAGAAGCAGATGCTTCAGCACTTCTCAAAAATTCCAACTTCACTCGAACCTCGTCCAATTGACGTTGGGGGCTCCCAAGCCCCACCGAACATACCGACAAGTCTGAAATCATGAAACAGACTTACTAGAACCTTCGGAACGCCCGAAACAACGCTAAATCTAAGAATCACCCCTTAAAACCAATTGAATCAAACTTATGAACTTCAAGTTCTTAATTTTCCTCTAACGAGCCGAAACATCCTTAAACTACTCGGATTGACACCAAATTTTGCGGGCAAGTCTTAAATGTTATTTCGGACCTGCAAGGGCTCCGGAACCAACATACGAGCCCGATACCCATGTGATCAATCGTTAATTAGTTTCTTTAAATCTTTAGAATTTCAGTTTAATAATTTTTAATAAAAATTCATTACTCGGGCTAGGGACCTCGAAATTCGATTCCGGGTATACGCCCAGGTCGCATATTTTCCTACGGGCCCTCCAGGACTGTCACAACATAAATCTGGGTCTGTTTGCTAAAATTGTTGACCAAAGTCAAACTTAGCCTTTTAAAAAAATCCTAAGGAGTCAAATGAGCATATTTCAACCCAAACTTTTCCAAATCCCGAACCAACCATCCCCGCAGGTGGTCGTAAATTAGTTAAAGCAAGCACGGGAAGTTTTATTTAAGGGAATGGGGTTCTAGAAAGCAAAATGACCAGTCGGGTCGTTACACTCTCCACCTCTTAAACAAACGTTCGTTCTCGAACGGACATAGAAAAGTACTTGAGTAGCTGAATAAATGTGGATATCTGCCTCGCATGTCCTCCTCAGACTCCCAGTTTGCCTCCTCGACTAGTTGGTCCCTCCACTGGACACTCACCACAAAAATCCTCTTGGACCTCAACTGGCGATCCTGTCTATCAATAATGGAAACTGGCTCCTCCTCATAACCCAAACTCTCATCCAACTGAATAGTACTGAAGTCTAACACGTGGGACAAGTTGGCATGATACTTCCGAAGCATCGATACATGAAAAACCGGATGAACTCCCGATAAGATGGGAGGTAAAGCAAACTCGTAAGCAACCTCCCCAACTCGTCTCAACACCTCAAAGGGGCCAATAAACCTTGGGCTCCACTTGCCCTTCTTCCCAAACCACATAATACCCTTCATTGGCGAGACTTTCAAGAGAACCTTCTTGGCAACCATGAATGATACATCATGCGCCTTCTGATCCGCATAGCTCTTCTGTCTGGACTGAGCCATGCGAAGCCTCTCCTGAATCAACTTTACCTTGTCCAAGGTAGGGCTGTGCATGGATCGGATCGGATCGGATTTAGCACATTTCGGATTGA